CCCATCTAAGTTGGTATAGATTACTTGATACTAGGATGCTCAAATAATTTTCAAAAAAACAGGACGTCACAAAATTTACCTTGAGAAAGCCGGATAACCGAAAATTTTTATGAGACCAGTTTCAAGTTATTTAATAGACCTAATTTAGCCATCACTGATTTGTAGAATATAGCTGTGAAAAAAATACATTAATATATTAATAGAGGTATGCTACCCGCTGAAGACTCTCTTGAGATAAGATACACCTATCTCGTTGAACAAATTCTTTCTCTACATCTAAGAAGAAAATTATTCATTGGAGGATTTAACAAACATTGACAAGAAAATATTCACTTGCGTCAAACGAATTCTCTTTGACAAAAGAAGTACATGTTACATTCATAATTTTTTTTCCTTATTCAATGGACGTCCTTGGGTATAGTAAAGAATACATAACAAAATCGAAACAATTTCAGACTTAAACCATTTTGTCCCGTAAATCGCTCGAAAACTTAATTTTTCACATCATGTATCACGTATGTGTAATGAAATCCCTTAAATCGATATGACACGGAAATACCTGGCCGTCAGTCCTTTTAACGATGAACAATCTTGAAGTACCAAGTACTAAGTAATCGAGGTACTTAGTGATTAGATGGTAACAAAGTGCAAAGTACCCAAATTTTGAGTAATGGCTATTACTGCTAGAAATCAATTTATGATGAGAATTTTGACTTCTTGCACTAATCAGTTATAATCTGCAGTTAAGAAATTTGTATTCCTATTATGCCATGAATAGTTTGATTATCCTTCCAAGTATAGCCAATTGATTTTAAGTAATGTGCTCTTTATGCAAGATATTTAGTCATCAATGTTAGAAAAGAAATCTAGAGATACAACTCAATCTATATAATTTTCTAAGAAAAACATAATTTCTAATCTTAAGACCAGTGAGAATTTTTTTTGGGAATGAGAAGATATTATTTTGCCGACATATTTTGTTGTCGGTGTAAGCACATAATCATTTAGTGGAACATTCAATAATTTAAAATTCAGACACCTTTTGTTGAGAGCTTTCAGAAACATAGAACCATTTGAAAATTGTGTAAAATGTGTGAATTTAAGATGTATTGAAAAACACTCAATTTCTTTTCCTCTTGAATTGAGACACATTAACCCTGGCATACATACACTTCTGCGGGTCTCAAAGATGTATACAAATAGTATTTGAAATTCATACATTCCTTTTTTTGCAGTATTATATAAAGTATCTCATCTTTCATTAAAGTATAGAATACACGTTACCAGCATTCGTATACATTCAAAACGAAGTTTACCATTCTGAGGATTTTCCGGAGGAGGCTGAGGTGAATTGGTTCTTCTGGCATTAGTGACCAAAAGGCGACGTTGCGTGGCTCTTCGTCGAAGAGTCGACCTTCTAGCATTACGATTTGTTTCCCACAGGATGTCTTGAGTATCTTCGGCGGATGTGACCCTGTCAAACTCGTCCTCTCGTAGGACTAGAAATGGTAGGCAATTAATCGATTATTTTATCCGCCGCGGCGCACGCAATGAAACGTTTTCACCGCGGTAGGTAAAATACACGTTTACGCGCATACTTATCACCCTCGCCTTACCTCGAGAGTACACACCAGCACCAATGGGGACATCAAAATCATGGGGGAGAAGCTCTGGGAAGGTCAATACGTCATTCATGCACTCTTTCAAGAAGAATGAGGCACATTCCAGAACTCCAATTTCGTCATTTTCACCGTCATTAAATTTTTTCCAAGTGGACTTCAGTGCCTTCACAGGGTGCACTACTGTTCGAACTCGAGGAACCCAATACTTCCCTTGTCGCGACGCATCTTTCTGTGCCTTTTCTTGCATCGAAATAAAAAAATCTAGAATAATAAATGATGCACGGTTAAAAAATTTTGTTTTAATTTTCCCTAAAAATTTTCTCAGGGTAGAACGCCACTGAAATTTCACAGGAGTTCGTGATTCATAAATGAGATTTTCAATGACAACTCAGTGAGACCTTGATCCTCCAGTTTTCATGACCGCGACCCTAAATTTGCTTTGAGAAAAAAAAAACGGAACATGCATATTTCTAGGAAAAATCTGATGAAAGGGCGAATTCTCAATTTCATGATAGCTAAAATTCTGGGCTTTTCCTGGAGTTTCAGTGAAATTTTAAATTTTAGGGTTATTTACCCCTGAAGAGGAAACGATACCTCCGTATCTCTAGAAAACGTCTCATGGTCGTTTCTCCTACAATTATTGATGTCTATTCGTGGAACTACTTCAGGACCTCCACCCCTGCATTTGCAGGTCCTGAAGTAATTTTCGGAATAAAGATGGATAATTGAAGAAGAAACGACTATCCAAAATTTCCTATAGACACGGGGGTACCGTTACCTCTTAGATGAAATTCCGAGCCACTGTCCTGAAAATTAGTAGTCAACTCTCGACGAATTTTTTTTTCTAACAGCGTAATTGTTGCAGAGTAAACTGAGTTACAAGGGTGGAATGTAACATTTTTTTTAAACTTTCCGAGACGCTGGCAGGAAGCTATTTACTTTTGAAACTGTAGTGGGAGTCGAGTACTTGTTTTGGATGCGAAGGGTGTCGAAAACTGGAGAAACAAAAAAAAATCATCTGTGAAATAAACGAGAACACTCAGAAAGATTTTTTTACTAATAAAAAAAATCACCATTAATTTTCACGATAGCAATGGTCAAAAGATTCTTCATTTTGAAAAATATCAATGAGGAAAAATGAGAGGAATTATTTATACGGCTTCGAACAAACTATTGATGACATAGTCATTGACAATGTTTATAAGATCATCCTTTATTCCTTACGTAAAATGTCGAAAATCGACGGATTGACGAGTTTGTCCAGCTCTTTTCTTAAGGATCGTTGAATGTCATTTATCCTCGATAGATCATTATAGACACTGAAGTTTTCAGCACCAACACGTACTAGCCACGTCTTCTCAAAATACCGTAAAAAATCATGCATTGCTTCTTTTAATGCAGGAGTTAAGCGACAACACAGCTTCCGATATGTCTCTATGATTTTTGCAGGGGGAAGCAGAGCCAAGGCAGTAATTTTTCGCATCAAAATAGTGTTCACATTTTCCAGATCGTCGATTTCAAATTTGTGCATCATTGCACTCAGTATCTGATGAAACCAATGAATTTTTTTTTTATTTTCGTTAAATTTTTAGTGTCGGCTTCGCGAGCGCTATATTCCATTATTTACCAATGAGAAGTTAATTTAAGATATCCTACACTGTTGAAAAATTACGATTGAAATTTCAGGAAAATATTCATGTTTTTTTTTCATTCACTGTTTCATACGAAGTTTCAATATTTTTTGTCACTGAAAATTCTGTTGAATTCTGGAATTTCATGTACTTCATACAACAATTCATGTCATTTTGTCCCTGAAAATTCCGGGAAATTCAGGAATTTTCAGGAAAATTTTAATTTTCAGGACCATTTCATCATGAGAATTAACAGAAATACTCAAAATTCTGGAAATAATTGCTTGGATTTTCAAATGACTGGAAATTCAATAAAAAACATGTCCAATTTTGGCAATGAGATCAGAAATTGAAGATGTTAACTGAAATCTCAAGGAATCACTGAAATTTCGATGATGATTTAACATAAAGTTCCCTAATTTTCTGCATTTTCGAGGTGAATAATACATTTTCCGGAAAATTAAAACTTGAAAATTCAAAATTTACAACACTGAACATTAAAGTGAAGTTATTAGTGAATTTTCTGGAAATTTCTAACAGTGTATGCCACTAACAATTTATTGAAAAATCAAAGTATTTGTAGTTTAAAAAAAAAATTACGTTCCCAAATTATAAAAAGCTTTTCCAAAATATCCAAAAACATTGCCCAATTATTCGATACCTCAATGTGTAAAACTCACCACGGTGTATTCGTAGAAAGTGCCTTGGACGTTATCGTAGAATTCATCGAGTGACAGATGAAGTTTTTCGTCATAATTAGTATAAACTGGGAGGTCCTCTCTCCTAAAAATTTGTCTTACTTGGTTAGCCACGCAATCATATGATTGCTGACTTCTAGACTTCAGCATCATGATAATGCATGGGTAGGCCTGAAAAATATTTGATTTTTCGAAAAATTAGAGAATTTTCAGAATAATATTTATACACGTACGATTTTTTAAAATGGAAAACCCTAAAGAATTCTCTAGGAATCGCTACAGGACTTCTATTGAATTTCCTAGACTTTTTTTCCGTTTCTATTGACATGTCCGATAGGGGACATTATATCGAAAAATGTCAACAGAAAAAAAAGTCAAAAGAATTTCATTTTTCTTACGAATTTTTTCGAGTCAAATTTTCCTATTTTTTTTCGTTATTTTTTAGTTTCTTAATGAATTAAACAAAATCTTATCCTAACTTATCTTAGTGAATTAAATAAAAAAAAATATTGTTATTTTCTTTTTATTCTAACCCTCAAAAACTACACTTGACAAATCACCACTCTTCTCTTTGAGATAATCCCAATTCTAATTACCCGATTTTTTTTTCAATGCGTTAAAGCCCGTCCAAAGAAAATAATTCAATAAGAAAATTCAAAATTTTTTAAGTTTAAGGAAATTTGTAGAATATTGCAACGTTGTTTTTAAAGGACGCGCAAAGAACCATAAACTATGTTCTAATTTCCTTCCACAAAATTACATAGAAATCCCTTTAATTATTCCAAAGAAATTAAGAAATCTGCAATGGACACTCACATGTTTGCCACTGACACACGCAACTAGGATAACATCATTGATAGGGAGCAGGCTCGTGTGCCAACTCGTTGTTGATGTAATTACGATAGCTGTGATTGTCTCTAGGTCAATAATGCGGAGAAGATCGTCATCAACAAGAGTCAACACCTCTGCGAGTCCCCCCGCATTGTATAAGTCAACCTCCAACCGCCCGTTTCGACACCAAAGCAGTGAGGAATAATCATTGGACAACTTCTCATACAAAGTTGCGTATGATTCGTTAATGGATGGCAAATCCATTGAATTTCTCCATCGTTTCATACGCTCCCTCACTGCCTCGTAATCCAGGGTTGCAGCTGCTTCTGGATGACTATGTTCAATAAATAGAAAGTAACAAGGTGAAGTTGCAAATTTCGTAACGAATAAGTTACTAAGGAGGGGTTGCGGAGTTCTCTTCAAGAAAAGGTTTTAGCACCGAAAAAGCCCCGGAACAGCTGCATTTTTTTTTTAATATATAACTTTTTATATTCATTGCCTGGCTTGACTACGTGAAAAATCACTGCCCGAGCCGATGGTGAAGGGAGGGGGCTATTTTTCGTCACTATGGGATATTGTCCTCGCCATTGACTTTTCATAAATTTTTGCTCAGAAATTTTCTGGGAAAAAACGCGATTTTTTTGCCGAACGCAACTCAAATTTTTCGTTTTTAGTAGGTTTAAATTTTTCAGCACCAGCATTTGAATTCTTTTAAAAAAATTATCTCCGTGTAGTTTACCCACCAGTAGGAGGATAATACCTTTCAATTAAATACTTACAGATCCTCCATTCTGTCGTAAATATCATTCAGATTTCTGAACTGCCGGGTGCAGCAAACACATAATTCATGTAGAAAAATATCCGTCTCTTCCTGAGTAAAATTCCTGGGGTGATTATGTTCATGGGTCTCCCTGAAAATTTGTCCATATAACACCCCGCGTCCCGAACACCTCCAGCGGTTGCGATACGCACAAATGAGGGAGCTACGAATATAATAATCGTATAATTATATTTTTAATCGAGGAGTTATTAACGCCCGAAATCAGGCCCAAAAGCAAATTTTAAAAAATATTCTTGATGTGTACGGAACTACTCTGAATTTTCTGAAAACTAAAAAAAATCACGATTTTTTTCTCTTTAGATTTAGACTCTATTTAAAAATTAAAATATTAAAATATTTAAACATTCTCTATTTAAAAATTTTTAGACTATTTAAAAATGATTCTAGTGTCATAAAGCTTAAGAATATTATTGTTAATACTTACCGTCCATCACGACCAACTTTCCCATCAAATGCGTAAGGTTGTCCGTCGTAGATGCGGTCCAAGGCTGGGAGCTCATTCCTGTTTCTTCGCCGCCCCCTTCGCCTAAAGCTGGCACTTTCCATTTTCACGCACTTTTGAATTTGACTCGTCGTCTGCACTGATTAAACACTCGAATTTTACTGAGTGATTTTGCCGCAGGAGCACGAGTTTAAATACTCACTGGTGATGCGCGACCGTAGCCGTCGATTATCAACGATGGATTTTATCATCCCTGAAATCTTCGGGCTGTCCGTAATGTTTCCGATAATGTTCAAATTGGGGATGTTTTGTATATTTAAACACGTATGAAAATTTGTAATAGAAAAACAAAAAGAATTCTATAGATATTTCTGTAGACTTTCTAAAAGACTTCTATTGAATTTTCTAAACGTTTTTTGCTGTTTCTTTCGACGTGTTCGACAGGAAACTATGTAGAAAAAATTTATAGTATTTCGTTGTCTATAGAACTTTTTCGGCTACAATGTTCAAAGTTTTTTCATTCATTTAAAAAAAAAAGAAAAAAAAAACAAATGTCTAAAAAAAATTTCGAAAATTTCATTTGAAAAAAAAAAGAAAAATAAAATTCTATTGACTATTTTTTTCTATGGAGAATTTTCAATAGAATATTTTCTATCGAACATTTCAATAGAAACGGCAAATAACGTATAGAAAATCCAATAGAAGTTCTGCAGAAATTTTTATAGAATTATTTAGGGTTTTCTATTTCGAATTTTCGTACGTGAAGAACTGTAACGGTTAGGAATTCTTTGAAAATTCAGTGATAACTCAATTGGAATTTCCAATGTTGCGAACTTGACTTGAATTTATCGAAGACAATAGAATAGAAGAGAATAATTCATAAAATTAATTGTACAGGTTGAAATTTGAAGAAAATTCAAACTTTTCTGTTAAATCCTCATCAAACTTCTAGTGACATTCGGCGATTTCAGCTAACGTTTTGAATTTTGTGAACTCGTTGTCACAATTAAGCATGATTTTCAGTTATAATATCCTAAGACCGTCATAATCACGTTCGATTTTTTTTTTTAATCCGTAAAGAATTCTATCGGTATTTCTATAGACTTTCTAAATAATTTTCTATACGTTTTCTGCTGTTTCTTTTAATGTGTTCGATAGCGAATTCTATAGAAAAAGTTTATAAACTTTCTTTGTCTATATTTTTTTTGGCTTAAATTTTCCAAGTTTTTTCATTCGATTTTTTTGAAGAGAAGAAAATAAAAAAAAAAAAGAAAATTAGAAAATCTGAGTCCGAAAAATTCTATCGAAAAATGAAATTCTATTGACTTTCTTTTCTTATTGATATTTTTCTATTCAATATTCGTTATCGAACATGTCAATAGAAACAGCCAAAAATGTATAGAAAATCCAATAGAAGTTCTATAGAAATTTTTATAGAATTCTTTTGGGTTTTCTATTGAAAATTTTCGTACGTGATTAGCGGGAAATATTGCGATTAATTATGAAGGTCGAGAGATATTCGGCGGAGAATTTTCCGGCACTGGATTTTGGCCAAACGGAGAGTAGTATTCGAGATTCAGTATTTATTACATAATTTAACACAAAAGTTTCTTCCGCGGCAAAATATTCGGTTGGTTAGAAACAAGTGTGGAGCTACTATGTAATTGTCGGGTGCAATGTCCAGAAGCTAGTGTGCAATTGCCTAAAAAATTTGTTAACAAAAGAGTACCCAGAACTTGAATACTGCGCTGTGATTGTCTAAAATCCAGTCACGGAAAATTCTCCAAAAAATTTTCCGGCATTTAAAATTCCAGTAAAATATGGTCTGAATTTGCAGTATTTTCGTTCATTGTTACGATGAAATGGGCCTGAAAAATAGTATTTTATGGAATGTTTTACAAATCAATTTATTTTTCAGCAACAAAATTTTCCTATAAAAAAGGAACTCTTAAAAATTGCAAGAATTTTGTTATTATTTTCTGGAAAATTTGAGAAAAAATCATAAATAGTCGTTTTACCCCCATCCCAGTTCTCTCTCGAGACTTCCTGATGACTTAAAAGTAGCCACATAGTGCCAGTATTTCCTAATACCACTCGAGTCTCTCTAAAAATCAATAATCAATAAACACTTAATCTCAGGTTCTTCTTCGATAAATATTAACTTGCTCTCAGGTTTTTAAATTAGCCTCAGTGCCCAACAGAATAATCTCCAACCACCAACATTTCAGGTAGAAATTTTATTGAGGAATGGACTGAAATTGAATAGACACAATTGTATTGTAACAGCAACCGTATCTAGAAGATTTATGACAAAAATAAACGTGTACGAATAGTGATTATCGTTACGTGCCTATATTGATTGCCGGAAATAATGAAATGAATTTCAATTTTAAGATTCATCGTTGGAATATAAAAAGTTTATGTATAAATTGAAATAATTTTTCTTAACAAGAGCCACCGTTTCTCTCGAACAGAAAAAATTTTATGGAAAAAAAAAATCCTGTACTTTTTTTTTTCTATTGACAATTTTCTATATATTTTCTGTGGAACATGTCAATAGAAACCGCAAAAAAGTATAGAAAATCCAATAGTAGTTCTATAGAAAATCCTATGGAATTCTGCAGGGTTTTCTATAAAAAAAATTCTTACGTGTAGCCAAATAACAGTAGGGAATCTCCTCGTCGCGAATTTCAGGGCGGAAATAACTTCATATATTTCCCATCGAAAAAAAAAAATAGTTTCTTTTAAGTGAGGATTTTTTTTTAAGATGAGTATGGGGTTAGCCATAAAGCCAATAATCACCGATAAGTGATAAAAATATATGTATGATATATTCGAATGATATCGAATATATCATACATATAGTCGAATGATATCTATTTTTCGTCATTGAGGGTGTAAATCGCTACCTATATACCATATATTTATATAGAACTTCTATTAAATTTTATATACGTTTTTTGCCCTTTCGATTGACATGTTCAATAGGGAATATTATATAGAATATCCTATCTGACCTATGATGACAAATTTTTCAAAAATCGGTCATATTATGAGAAATTATTTAAAAAATTATCATCAAATGCGAAAGCTCTCTTTTGGTTGTTCCAAGAAGGGTTAAGCCGCCATCTTTTAAACTTGAGACTAACCCATTGATGGAACCCAATGTTCATCAATCGAGTGCGATGGCCAACAAGGCAGATACCTCATTACCGGCAATATAGATTACAACGGTCTTCTGGGGGATCTACTCTAAGAACTATTCAAAACCTGGATTAATTCATGATCTGTCTATTTTTCATTTAGAAGGATTAAAGATTGGACAGTAACCGTTCCAGACTAATACGCTATTAGATAATCGTGCACTCTTGGTTTTCCGTGGTGCGAATAATTGTTATTCAGAATAAAAAGGTTCTCTATAAATTCTTACGCTGATTCATTAGATAATAGATAAACGCATATTTGATAAATCACCTATTAGAAAAATGATTATTTGGTAATTCAAAGGTTCCAGAAAATATTTACGCCCCTTAACATGGGTTTGGATTATTAATGATTCCGTTAATATTATGAACCACATTTATGAACATCTGAATAATTCACGATATGAAAATTCATGAAATGGTATAACACTTAATCCTATATAAATCTTATCCTCATTTTTATGGGTCCATGATAATCGATTCCCGTATTTTTGTAGTTCTGGGAAAAATACTTTCTGAATGTTAACTGTATCGAACTTGTCATACTCCATGTAATACGGGGTCGGAGTCATACCGACTCCCTATTTTGCATGATCCGTGACTTTCCAACTCGGAGACATACCATACTTCGACAAATACAGTTTCGGCTGACCGTACCCAAACCGCGCGGCCCCGTCCCTTTTTGTCTATTTATATTTTTGTTTCTTGACGTTTAAAAATTCTGGAAAATTAGAGTTCCTAGTTCAATCTTTTTATTGAGCGGTGGCATTGTCTGTTTTTTTCTTGAAAAATTTGTTTAGCTAAAAAAAAAAAAGAAACGTCGAAGGGACAGAAAAGCCCACCGCGTCTCTCCTTCCGGTGCGAGTGAATGTCGACCACTCGAGCGAGCTACATCTACTGCTTCATTCGCTGTCACATTTGAAAGGCGCACCAAAGAGGATAGACCTGAGTAGAGGCCCGGATCGGGGGGTTTGACTGACTCCAAAAATGTTAGTTGGTACCCCACGGGAAAGGCGGCGTCCCGGTCGAATTGTCGGTAAATGTGAGTCGGGTGCGTGAGTAACTCGGCAGTAGCAGTCACGCTGTGACAGGTTTATTATCGACAGGCTCGGAGAGGGATTTTTGTCCTCCTTGTACTCAATGTTTACTTTATGTTTTTCAGTTGATTTATTCGCCGACTAATTAATATTAAGGGATGAAATAAAGACTGTTCAATGGAGAATTACATTCGCCATCCATCAACCCCCGTTTCATCCCTTAATCTCTGCAATAAAAAAATTAATATTGCGACGAAAGTCACGGCGCTATAATAAACCCAATGTTTCTCGGCGCAGAGTGACTCCCCAATAATTCGCCCGCTAATTAAAAAATCGTCTCTCCCCTCCTAATTAACAATAAGGAATGAAACCAATGCTGTTCGATGGAGAATTAAATTCCGCATCCTTCAACCCCCGTTTCATTCCTTAATCTCTGTAATAAGAAAATGAATATTGCGACGAAAGTCGCGGCGCTATGAAAAACCTAATGGTTTCTCGGCGCAGTGACTCCCGACAACTCGCCCGCTAATTAAAAAATCGTATCTCTGCTCCTAATTAACATTAAGGAATGAAACCAATGCTGTTCGATGGAGAATTAAATTCCCCATCCATCAACCCCCGTTTCATCTCTTAATCTCTGTAATAAAAAAATAAAAACTGCGACGAAAGTCGCGGCGCTATGAAAAACCTAATGGTTTCTCGGCGCAGTGACTCCCGACAACTCGCCCGCTAATTAAAAAATCGTATCTCTGCTCCTAATTAACATTAAGGAATGAAACCAATGCTGTTCGATGGAGAATTAAATTCCCCATCCATCAACCCCCGTTTCATCTCTTAATCTCTGTAATAAAAAAATAAAAACTGCGACGAAAGTCGCGGCGCTATGAAAAACCTAATGGTTTC